TAACCCAATCAACAAATGGGCCAAGGACCTGAACAGACACTTCTCAGAGGAGGACATACAATCAATCAACAAGTACATGAAAAAATGCTCACCATCTCTAGCAGTCAGAGAAATGCAAATTAAAACCACCCTAAGATACCATCTCACTCCAGTACGAATGGCAGCCATTATGAAGTCAAACAACAACAAGTGCTGGCGAGGATGTGGGGAAAAGGGTACACTTATACATTGCTGGTGAGACTGCAAATTGGTGCAGCCAATTTGGAAAGAAGTATGGAGATTCCTTGGAAACCTGGGAATGGAACCACCATTTGACCCAGCTATTCCCCTTCTTGGACTATTCCCCAAAGACCTTAAAAGAGTGTATTATAGGGATACAGCTACATCGATGTTCATAGCAGTACAATTTACAATAGCTAGACTGTGAAACCAACCTAGATGCCCTTCAATAGATGAATGGATAAAAAAATGTGGCATTTATACACAATGGAGTATTACTCAGCACTAAAAAATGACAAAATCATGACATTTGCAGGGAATTGGATGGCACTAGAGCAGATTATGCTAAGTGAAGCTAGCCAATCCCTAAAAAGCAAATGCCAAATGTCTTTTTTGATATAAGGAAGGCAACTAAGAACAGAGCCGGGAGGAAGATCATGAGAAGATGATTACCATTAAACAGGGATGAGAGGTGGGAGGGAAAGAGGGAGAGAAGGGAAATTGCATGGAAATGGAAGGAGACCCTCATTGTTATACAAAATTACATATAAGAGGAAGTGAGGGGAAAGGGAAAAAAAGGGAGAGAAATGAATTACAGTAGATGGGGTAGAGAGAAAAGATGGGAGGGGAGGGGAGGGGAGGGGAAAGGGGATAGTAGAGGATAGGAAGGGCAGCAGAATACAACAGACACTAGTATGGCAGTATGTAAAAACGTGGATGTGTAACCGATGTGATTCTGCAATATGTATATGGTGTAAAAATGGGAGTTCATAACCCACTTGAATCAAATGTATGAAATATGTCAAGAGCTTTGTAATGTTTTGAACAACTAATAGTAATAAAAAAAGAAAAAGAAAAAAAATGTTCAATAATATTGATTCTAGCTAGTGAATGTCTCTTGCATATTTAAGTAAGTTTTGAGTTAGGTATGAGTGATTGGAACCAGAGGTTCTAATGGATTCCCTGTAAGACATGGTTTAAGACATTATTCTGTTCAATGCCTCTTATGTTAACTACTTTTAAAATTTTAATATCAGTCAAAAAGATATCTTAACAATAGATGCTTCTTGTCATATAATTATCACTTAACCTGCTGAGTTTCTCTACTTGCCTTTCCTATGAGGAAGTTAAGTTTAATGTTCAAAATAAATAATCTTTTAGCCATACATACTGTTCTCATAGTTTTATTTTTGTGTATCAATATTAACCACCTGGGCTGGGGCTGTAGCTCAATGTCAGAACACTTGCCTAGCATGTGTGAGGCACTGGGTTAAATCCTTAGCACCACGTGAAAATAAATAAAATAAAGGCATACTGTCCATCTACAACTACAAAAAAATTAACCATCTTTTTGTACATGTCAGTTGCTCTGTTCTTTTAGAAAAAGAATAAAAATCATTAATAGTGGCAGGCACAGAAAGACAATACATATTTTGTTGAGTAAAAAGTACACCTATTAACGAACAATGTTTTTGTCAGAAACCAAATAATCAAATGTAAAACATGGTGGCTTACTTAAAAATACTTAATAAAAATCGAAATTACCTATGTTCAGAAAATACACCCAATGTATCTTAGATTATTAAAGTAGGAGAGAAAGGCAAGGACTGTGGCTTAACATATGCATAAGCAGGGAGGTCATGTAGAGGGGTGAGGGAAGGAGACACCTGGAGTGCAAGGATGCCTTATGCTTGGGTAGAGCAGGTTCTAGGTTACAGAAGAGACCAATAATACAAGGACATGAAATTTCCCTTTTAAAAGAAAACCCTAGTATTTTCAGACAATCTGTTTCTTCAAGAGGACACTGGGGAAGTCACGGGGGAAACAAATTGTGGTCTGTGTTTTACATACCTCTCTTATCCTCTGAATCAACCTAATCAAATTAAATCATTTTTAGCCTGGTAGGCCCAAATTATTTCAGGGACCCACTGAGCAAAAAGTACATTCTCTATTCTGGTAGTTAATGCTTAAAGGACAACTGCAGAATAAAGTATTTTAGTAGGAATAAGTTTCTAAAAGTATTGTGATATGCAAATGGTAACCACATAGTTTACTATGGGATTGGGAAATGGGAAACATGGAAAAACAAAAGCAGAGAAGAGAAGAAAAGAAGTGACTAATGGGAAAGCAATTTTTAGACATCCTAAAGCTGGTCTAGGATGTGTACTATTTAAGTTGGAAAAAAAAGAGAGAGGTACATAGAGATACTGATCACTATGCTCCAAATGCATTTCTGAACCACATATGAATTCAAATTTATATGTGTGTATGAAAAGGTGTCATAATTTAACATGGTCTATAATGTGTGATGGTTTTGCTAAAATGTCTATTATTATCAAAGGAATTTTTCCAAACATAGTGACTAAGATTTTAATTTTATATTCACTGTAGAAAAGGTTGTTCACCTTAAGTCAGTAATTCCCAACTTTTCAATTCTGTGAATATTTAAATGTAATTGACACAGGAGCATCAAAATAGGTGGGAATCGTAATTTAGAACCTACACATCAAGTTTCTATTGTGTGTATAGCTGTTATAATTTAACATGACCTACAAACATGTGACTTCTCTTTTGGCTAAGTCTCCTATTATATTTGATTCCAAGTTTAAAAGAATTATTATTATTTAAAAGAATTATTGTTGTTATATAATTATATATTATAACATTAATTTTTATAGGCATGCCACATCTGGGACAATGGGACAAAACAGGTTAACTTACTTGGAGACAAATGCATTCTCCTGATAAGTCCTAAAAATTATGTTTATGTTTCCATCCTCATTTTCTTCAATTCCTTTGTTTTTTTAAGAACATTAGGTAAATGATTGTAAAGTGTGAAAAATATTACAGTTCAGGAAATATTAAAGTTTATGGCCAATAAGCAATATACTGATATTTGTTATATCTGGCTCCTGATGGATGTATGCAAGTTTCAATTAATTCTGCAATTATCTGTGTTTAATAAAAGCAGACAGAAAATTTTATATCCATAAATGATCAAGCAAGCTCAAGTATAAAATGTTAGAAAGTTGCAGCCTTTTTATTTAGTACCAAGAGAATGCCAGTAATTTAACATGATATCTTGATAATTGTTGCTCACAGAGTTTTAACAAGAACAAAAAATATATAAATTTTATGTCTTCTTTGGCATGTTATATATTAAAAATGATAGCCATTTCTTTAGCAGCACTGTGAGGGGAAAACACTGTAAAATACACTACTGGATTTGGTTTATGTGATGAAAATTGTGATACAATGAATCAAAACTTCAATGCCAAAAAGAACCATGCTTTAAAGAAAATATTTGTAAGATAAATAATGGCATGAAATTTATAATAGTCAAAAAGAGAAAACAGATTTATCTGAACACTGGGATCCTTTTTTTTCAATTGTAGCTTTTAAGTTTGTAACTACATGTGAATCAAATTTATACATAACTTCTATTTAACACCATTTCTATCTTGAGAAGTGCAACGAAAGGAAGTAAATTAATACTTCTATATCAGAAAGTAGGTATATAAATTCAAAAGTGCTTGGGAGTGGTGGCAAATTATTTTTTAAAGTCTCTATAGCATAGTATGCTCTCTGCATAAAGCCTATGTAACTCACAACTGCCAATGCTACTTCCTGTCTAAAAACAAAACAACAACAAAATATCAAACTCAGAAAAAACTTTTTCCCTTTCTTGTACTATGGAATTTAGTGCCATATAATTTTCCATTTCAAAACCATGCTAGAATTTGCATGTTTAATTAAGATTTTATATATAGCTTTAAAAATGATGGTTTCTTACTAGGCTGCTTTCCTGCCATTAAATATAATTTTATCATACTAAAAAAACTTATATTTTTGCTATAAGTGGTATCCATATCAGAGAGCAGGTATTAAAACAGAAAAATCAAATATGATCTGAGCAATATTAGTTGATAGGAAAGAAAAAAGTAAATAATCTAATTGGTCACGATATAAATTATTAAAAAACTAATGCACTTATTTAAACATACTCTAAAACTATCCCACATAAAATTAATAAATCTTTTGAAGAGTAGTTTCCATAACTAGACAACTAGAAAGTAAAACAGTCATCCAAAGAATTCCCATTATCCAGAGTTTAGAAATGTAAACACAGAACAAACCCTAACTTGGCAATTGTGTATGTGTGTACACACATGCACAAACACACACACGTCCATATACACATAACAAAAAACACATATGTATATATAAACATTTAGCTAAATTTCTTGCTATATAATAATTGAAAGATGCATCATGTGCCAATACAATATAAGTAAGCTTAAATTTGTCTATCCTAAAAGTACTTTTCCTTTGTCTTCTGCTTCATATTTCAAAGAAAGCTATGCCTATAATTTAGGATTTATTAACTTCCAGTTCCTCCCATCAATCAAATCAGTAAATCAATCAAATTAATTTACTTGAAGTATATGACAGATTTCACTATTTTGTAAGACTAAAACTAAGAATAGTGTATTCATGAGATTAATATGTTGTGAATAATCACTATCAATGCTATTACATTCCTTCATAGGAAGGCAGATAACAACAATATTGATTTATTCTACTAATTTCAGCTGCTGATTTTGAGATAAATGCTAAACTATGCCTGAATAAGTGCTGGAATGTAAAAAACATGTTCTAAAACAGTTTAATTGCAGTTGACCATATATATATGCTTGCATTTTTCTTGCAAAATAAATGATAAATAGGATTTATACATCCTGAAATCTAGACAAAGTGTTTAAAAACTTGGGATCCATAGATAGTTTGCATCCAAACTCTCTGTGCTTTTATTCTTTACCAATATAATGGGAGGAGGTATGAAAGTCCTTGTGTTACAAATTATGTACTTTGAGAAAAAAGAATACAGACAAATATGGGCTTAACAACATACACAGAAATGATCATCAATCACAGACTCTCTCCATACTATCTTGTAACAGAAGTTTATTACTACCAAAAAGCTTAGAAGATGGTAAAAGAAAATGCAGATTGAAAATCAGAAAGTACTATGGAAAAAAGAAACAATCTATTATATAATTGAACCTTGGACCTACTGTGTAAGTTCTTTACATACACACAAACACACACCCCAAAAAAAACTTCATTGATAATAACTGAATTTAAAATTAATTTCTTTTTGTTAGAATTACTGAAACTCCTATAAACTAGAAACCTGTCTGTTTAGTGGACATATTCCTTAGAAAATGCCAATTATCTATTAGCCAATATTGGAAAAATGTGAAGTAATTTAGCATGCATTTCACTTTTAGCTGAAAATAATCGTTCTGAGGGAATGGAAGTCCTGAATTGGGGAAGAAAAAAGGATTGAGGCCCTTTTGGCACACAGAAAACAGGATAAATCTTAATGATGGAGTACTCCCCATGAGGTGTTTAAGTAGGAGAGCAGCAGAAAGAGAATGTAGAGTGCCAAAGACAAACTCTGTCTTGGAGAAAATATAATTTTTCTAGTGTAAAGTAAGTGTTGTTTTGTTTTCCTTCTTTATCCATGAAAGGCCTCTTACTATTAGAATAAGACTATTCAATATGTATGAATAAGTGTCCATGGGCAGTACTATTTTAACATATTGTTTCAATGGGGGAGATATTATAAACACCAAATATCTTTTATTAAGTTTGTGGGTTGCCTAACATGAAATCATTTTGAGGTAACCAGAAGAGCCAACAAAAATGTTTTATTATATCTAGTAGCCAATGAAAATAAACTACAAATAACAAGGTTTAGGTATTCCTAATCTAACAAAAACAGGCTCAAATTTTATCTTCATAAAAGAACGGAAACTACTGTTTTACCCACAAAAATCAGTCAACAGTGCTACACTTCTAATTTTCTTGCAAATAGTTTTCTGAGTGTATTCTTGGTAATATGTGCCTTAGAATGAAAGACTGTTAATCTACTGAGCAAATTTGGTATTTTCCTTTAAGAAAAATAATAAATAAGTTCAATATTGTCTCCCTTTCAGGAAAAAAACTCAAACTGTTATATCATTAAATATTATAAATAACCATTAACTGGAAAGAAAAACAATGTAAAATAATTCATGAATTTATTAGAAACCACAGTATCATTTTGCTGGTCAAGCATTTATAGAAGTCTCATTAAAAATGTTCCATTCAAATCTAAATTTATGGTTAGAGTTATAGCCAAAAAGTAGATAATTAGGCATCCCTAGCTGGGCACCTCCTACAAAATGAGGGTACATTTTAAGCTTTCCTTTATAATAAAGTTGTCCTTACTACTGTAGTTCTTAGGTTTGCAAGTTTACATATTCCAGCAGAAAACTGTCTTACAATTATTGGGTATATCCACTTGTATCTTTCAGACTGTCAGTCCTCACTGGGTGATGAGGAATCATAATGATCACTGCTTATTTCTTATAGTGTTCCTTTCATGATGGAACTGTGTGACATGATCTTTTTGAACATGTTAACTGAAAATTGACCATCTACTTTTAAAAACCATTGAATATAAAAAGCCGGAAGTTTATTTTCTGATCATTTTTCAATTTCACTTCCCTTAATTTTATTACATGAAAAGTATATATGGATATAATATTTGTGCTGAAAAGTTTAGCACTGAAATTATACCTCTGAGTTTGATGTATCAATTCTGATAAGAAGATAGAAGATGGCATAACAACACAAACAAGATAATGACAAGAGGAAAATAAATATATGGACACAAATTGTTACATGCAAGCACTTAATGTAATTAAGCAAAATGAAGAATGAAAAAGCCAAATTGGAACATAAATAGCCATAAAATATAGTACCAATTTAACCACTTCTAAGTAATATTTCCATGTATTATTAGATATTTTTAATGTTTTTTAATTGTTTCAAAAATCACCTCAAAATAAGAACACATACTTTTATATATTACACCCAGAAACAGATTTTTGTGCATGGTATAGATCACTTACATTATAAAGATAAGATGTATAATTGGTTTATTAAATACCAAAGGTACATGTCTTCTAGCCTAAACTGTATACTCAGCAATCAACTGTCTCTGAATTAAGAAAAAAATACACAGCAAACAGTACACCTAGCACACACAAGTAGTTCACTTATATTCACTAAACAAAACTATGATATCCTGCAAATTACATTCATGAGTTCTTTCTGTCAGTAGTAGTAGTAGTAGTAGTAGTAGTAATGGTATTTTATTCAACAACACAATTTTTTTTTAAATTTCAGTATTTAGAGAAAACAATTCATATTAACACAGTGGTTCTGAATCATAAATTTAATAAGATCAATTTGGCCAGATATCTTTTATAAATATGATTTTTAAATGTGCTCAACCTTTTTGTAGATGATTAATATTACTCCTATTTAAAATGTTAGTTTTTCTTCTCAAAGCATAACTATTATGTAGCACTGTCTAAAGTTACTGAAATACATTATACTATACCATATGTGCTAAGAGCACAAGTCCACTACAGTACAACTTCAACTATATAATCATACGATTCAAGGTAGATTGGTATGCTACACTGTAGCTCAAAGCACATAGAAATCAGAAAAATAACAGTGTACTTCATTTATAAAGGGGATAGACGATGACTAAATCCAATTAGTGAACTTGAAAGTCTGGTTACATAACACCAAGATAGTGTTAACACCATGTACTTTATTATCAAAGGACTAACTATGACCTATTTGGAAGATTATAACACCAGTATAAAGTCTTTTGATATTTTTTCATTTGTACAACAATTCTGTTAGTTGTAAATTGTTAGAAACCTTATGAAAACCTTTCCTAGATGAGGCCACTTATGGATAAATATTTAAGTCTGTCTCACACATTACTGGTGATTTAATTCTTCCATAAAAACTTTGGCACCAATCATATCATATATTAGGATAAATGCATCTCGCTCTGGCACCAAACAACTATGACAATAATTTAGTAGCCATAAATGAATGGAGTCCTTTGGTTATGCACAACAAACTTCCACACATTTGCTTTTCTTTGTAGAAAAAAAAAGCCTATCCTTCAAGATCAGATGTTAAAAAAATACTGACGTTGCTTGGCATTACACTAAAAGCATGATTTCTAAACCATTATTATTTGAATCCACTAAAACTAAGAATAATTTTACTTGAAAAGAATTTTAGACATGTATGTGCAGAGAAGTTTTTAAGACCTGTGGATTACAATTATTTCCTGATACAAACACTTGGACATGACTACAAACAACATAGTATGAATATTGTGGACCTGTTTTTTTTTTTTTTTTTTTTTACTTCACTCCCCTTAAAAAAAGGGTCTAAACAGAATATTCAAGTAATATAGCAGAAAACAACGCTATTGATATAAGATTAGGCAAAAAGTCACATGTTTAGTTTTCTCTTCATCCTGTTTAGCTGAGGAACACTGCAAATCTTACAAGCCAGTTGATGTTCGCTTTTTCATGCTCCGTCGCTGAGCTAAGCTTGAAGCAGCTACAGGCTCTAGGACTGGTTGAAAAGTCTTGTGAGTCAGGGCAGAATATGTGGCAACAACTTCTCCCTAGAATAAAGTAATAATCTCAGATTAAATAAATAAATAAATAAATAAATAAATAAATAAATGAATACAAACTTCCCCATTACATTTTTCTAGAGCAAAATTTTGCCCCAGGAAAATAACTGAGTATATTCTATGCACTGATTCTGCCTTGGTGAATTAATAACTGATTATTTGTATGTTTTTCATTTAAACGATCATTCTTCTAATGCAAAATTGTTAAGACACTAAAATGCAATATCTAGGCTCAATGTCTATGAATATAGAAACTGGAACAAATGGTTATAATATAGGAATTAATAGCAATCTTGTTTCCATATGAAATGTGACCATTTAGATCACTCCTAGATCAAGTGTCTCTTATAAATAAGGCAATCAGTAATTAAGACTTTTTAAAAATTTTTTCATCAGAAAGCCAGTAGCAAAGAAAAGTTAAGAAGAGTACATGGTTGCTATTATTAAAAAAAATTAAAAAACTCTAAAAAATAAAGATATATTAAGAAATTAATTACCTATAATTAGTGAATATCATACAATGGCTTCATTAGATAATAAGTTTTAGAAGGCACATGAAAGTATGTTTATTTTACCTTAACAATGTGTGATGAATCATTTCTATATGGCTGATCATTTGGCAGCTGATCCCTGTGGGTTATCCATGAGTGCTTTAATACTTGTTCAGTAGTGTATCTCTGATGAGGGTCCATATGAAGCATATGGGAAAGCAAATCCTAAAAGAAAATGAAAAATATATATGGAAAATCTTGGGATTAGCTACATGATCAAGGGGAGAAAGGAGCTACTGAACTTGGCTGGTAAGCTGGGCCCTATGGTACAAGAGTATGTGTATTTAGACACAAAATAGAAGGGGCAGTCCAATGTAGTTAATTTGCTCATTAACTAGGGGCTTAATGCACAACATACTAAAAAAGCAAAATATAAATCCAATGTTAGCAATTAGATGCTATCATAGCATTGTGAGTTTTACATCAGAGTAATTATAAATATGCTTATTTGAACTGTCATAATAAAATACTGTGTACTTAATATACCCTAATAGTAAAATAAAATTTAAAAAAATTAGTTGTAGATGGACACAATACCTTTATTCTGTTTACTTGTTTTTTTGTTTTTTTTTTTTTTTATGTGGTGCTGGGGATCACAAGCACTTTACCAATGAGACACAACCCCAGCTCAAAATGAAGTATTAAATATTCTAAATTATGTAACATTTTAAATAAAATATCCTTAAAATATTTTATAAAAAGAGGTAGTAAATTCCTTAACAAGCATTTTCTAATAAAGAAAACCATCATTTGTGAATGAACCTTTCATCAATAGCAAAAGCAGAAACTAAAGGCTCTAAGTAGTAATACCAGATTATAATTGGCTGGAACTGTTTAAGGGACTAGGACAACCAAACAAGACAATCTACTAAGAAAACAACAGATGCAAATAAATAAATAAATAAATAAATATGTAGAATATTAAAAAAGATATCGGGGACATACTAACCACCTGATAAATGATGGCTATTATTGTGATTCATTAAAACAACCAGCATCAAGCTGTTTCATAGTGGGGTAGGGAGGGGGAGCATGGGAGGAACAGACAAACTCTAGATAGGGCAGAGGGGTGGGAGGGACATGGAGGGGGCATGGGGTTAGAAATGATGGTGGAATATGATGGACATTATTATCCAAAGTACATGTATGAAGACAAGAATTGGATGAATACAATTTGTATACAACCAGAGATATGAAAAGTTGTGCTCTATATACGTAATATGAATTATAATACATTTCATTGTCATATATAACAAATCAGAATAAAAAAATAAAATAAAATTTAAGAAAATAAGTTGCCGTGACAGAGCAGCAAGGGTTATATTTAAAGCAGACCACTGTTACAATGTCACAATAAACTTCGCTAAAAGCTTCCAGCAAAAAAAGATAATCATTTCAATAAGTTACATCTAAATTGAGATCATAAATTAAAAATAGAACCACTATATAATCTAGTATTCCCACTACTGGTAGGTATCCAAAGGAAATGAATTCAGTATATCAAAGAGATAACTGCATTCCAATGTTCATTGCAGCACTATTCAAAACAGCCAAGAAATAGAAACAACCTGTCTATACAATAATGAATGGATAAAAAAAATGAGTACATATACACAATAGAATCCTATTCAGCTATGAAAAAGAATAAAATCCTGTAATTTGTTACAAACTGGGTAGAGCCAGAATCATTATATTAAGTGAAGTAAATGATTCACAGAACAAGTGCCTCATGATCTCACTCGTTATATGTGGAATCTAGAAAAGTCAATCTCATAGAAGTCCAGAGATAAAACGGTGGTTATAATAAAAGGCCAAGGAGAACAGATGAAAGGGAGAAATGGGTGAAGGTTTATCAATGGGTGCTAAGTTACAGTTATATAGGAGCTAGTTCTTGTGTTACTGCATAGTAGGATGACTATAGATAACAATAAGGTACTGTATTTTTCAAAAGGCTAGAAGAAAGGATTTTGAAAATTTTCAACACAAAAAAAATTATAAATGTTGAAGGAGAAAGATACGTTTATCCTGATTTAAATGGATGTATAGATGTATTGAAATATTACTTAGCATTTTGCTAATATGTAAAATCTTTATATTTTCATGTATCAGTTAAAAATCTGACATGGGCCGGGCATGATGGTGCACGCCTGTAATCTCAGAGACTCAGGAGGCAGAGACAGGAGGATCTGGAGATCAGAGCTAGCCTCAGCAAAGGTGAGGAACTAAGCAACTCACTGAAACCCTGTCTCTACATAAAACAAAACAGGGCTGGGGATGTGGCTCAGTAGTTGAGTGTCCCTGAGTACAATCTCCAGTACCCACCAAAAAAAAAAAATCTGACATTAAGATTTTTAACTGATATATGAAATCTACTGCTATGTAAAATACAATGCACCAAAAAGGATAGAATTTCAATACTCCAAGGACTTCTGCTTCTGGCCAAAATGGAATATCATGAAATACCATGTGCTGGATTTACCCACCACCTACAATTCCAGAAAACAACAAACAAATCTTATGAAACAAAACAGATCAGATGATAGTCAATGAAGGTGAGTGATCCCTAAGAGATGAGAAACAAATCAGATAAGCATTATGTGTACCCCAACTTGAAAATATTTTTTGATTGCTGTGCAGTAAGGAAACCTAGTCAGAGCCTGTAAGTTTGAGTTGAGGAGACAGAACAGAGAATTAAGAGAGACTAAGGCAAACTGAGTTAGCAGGACAGGATATGAGAGAAGTAAATGTAGGAGAGAAAGAGATAATTATGGAGTTCTGGAGAGGATATTCCTCAAGTATTCAGATTGCTACAATAAACATTTGTTTGAAGAAACAACTGAAGAACTATCTCAAAGGATTGGAGTGAAATTGAACAAAAGCAATTTTGTACAAGTACAATGTGTCAATTAAAAAAATATTTTATACTCTGGAAAAATATTTAGAGAAAAAATTGATATACATTATGCTCATTTAGTTCATGCATCTTGCAAAAATAACGCAATTTCTTTTTTGGACATAATTTATTTGTATGCTTTATAAAAATAGAAAATAAAAATGCTATTGGGGGAGGGAAGAACACATATAGGGTAAGGGAGCATGGTTTTCAAAAACAAAGGCAAATATTACCAGGGATAAAGAAGGCCATTTCATAATGATAGAGGGGACAATTAATCAAGAGGACAAACTTAGTTTTATTGGTGCTTTATAATTATACATAATAGTGGGATTTATTGTTACATATATTTACATGCACATAACATAATTTGGTCAACTGCATTTGCCTACCCTTTCTCTCCCTGTCCTCCTATCTGTTTCCCCATCTATCTTCATAAGAGAGATGAGAGGAAGAAAACTTATAAATATTTATTTATGTAAAAATATAGCTTTAAAATTTACATGAAGCAAAAAAAAAACATTAAAACTACAGAGACAAATAGACAAACCCATAATTATAGATGAAAAAGTAAACATAACTATGGAGTCTGTAGATATGAACACAAAAGTAAAGAAATATGAGAAACTTTATGACAATATATCCAACACTGAGTAAATTCCTTGAATGTCAATGTCCATTGACAAAAAGAAACAGATAATCTAAATAGCCATACCTGTTTGAGAAAATGAATGTGAAGCTAAAGACTTAACAACAAGAAAAACTTTAGTCCCAGATTGCTTCAGTGGTGACTTATAAAAAACATTTAAGAGTAAGTAATTCCAGTTCTAAATAAGTGTTCCAGAAATTTAAATAGGAGGAAATACTTCCAATCTCATATATGAGACCAATATTACCCTGATAACAATATCAGACAGATATTACAAGAAACAACAGATCAATATCATGAATATAGATATTAAAACTGTAAATAAAATCAGCAAACAAAATTCAGCTATACATAAGGTCTAACTCATGATCAAGTTTATCCTGGTTGGGAAACGAGGTTTTTTTAACATTTGAAAAGCCACATAATTCAAATGTATGCCAATGTAATAGAAAGAAAATCCATGTTATGTATAAGTAATTAGACACAGAAAGACTTTGATGAAATCTAACATCCATCTCTAATAAAATTTTCTTTAAACCATGAATGAACAGGAAAAAACTTATTCCACTTAAGTAAAAGTACCTATGTAGAATATACAGCTAACACTATCCTTAATGGTTAAAAATGAATGCTTTCTCTAAGATTAGGAATAAAGAAGAATGCCCTCACTCTCCACTTTTACACCACACTGGAAGTTCTAGCCATTCACATAAAGAAAAAGATATCCATATTATAAAGAAACAAAACTACCTTTATCAGAAATAATGTCATCTACATAGAAAAAATGATGCTACAAATATGCCACAATGATGTTCACTATTTTGTATAATTAATACATGCTAATAGGATAAATAAAGAGAAAACTGATACAATCTATATAAAAGCTACTACAATAAATGATATTAGCAAGGCTGCAATATACAAGATCAATATACAAAAAAAAAAAAAAAAAAAAAAAAAAAAAAACTGTAGGTTATCTTTCCCTCTGGAGATAGCTTATATTCTCCCTTAAATGTGTTCTCCTTGCTTAGCCTCCAAAGTTTCTTACTACATAAATGTGCCAACATTCTCCCTTGATGTATATTTCCTACTTTACCCCGCTAAATGTATTTCCCCTGAGACAGTTCACATTCTCACTTGAATGTATTTCGGCTTTTTAAAATAAATGTCGCAAAAAGTGTATCATATAATGATGAAATCAAGGAATTAGCATACTATCACCTTAAATTTTCAAAACTTCTTTAGTAAATATTCAAAATACTCTTTTCCAGCCAGCCATTTTAAGAGGTGTGATGCATCATTTTTAACCATATGTGTGAGTAATAAATTTTAGAGGTCTGTGAAGAATGTCAGTGGCATTGTAGTTTTCTTAATTTTTCTTTCACTGATGTATAGCACCTCAGATAGAGCACTAATCTCTAGGATATATACAAAACTGAAAAACACTAACACCAAAAATCAAACAATCCAATCAATAAATGGGCTAAGGAACTGAACAGACACTTCACAGCAGATGAACGACAATTTATCAAAAAACATATAAAAATATTCATTATACCTAGTTATTACAAAAATGCAAATCAAAACTAAGATTTCATCTCACTCCAGTCAAATGGCAATATCAAGTATACAAGCAAAAATAAGAGTTGGTGAGGATGTGGGGAAAAAAGTACACTCATATATTGCTGGTAGGACTGCAAATTGGTGCAACCACTCTGGAAAGCAGTATGAAGATTCCTCAGAAAACTTGGAATGGAATCACCATTTGACCCAGTTATCCCACTCTTCAGTTTATACCCAAATAACTTAAAATCAGCATACTACATTGGTGCAGCCACATCAATGTTTATAGCAGCTCAATTCACAATAGCTAAACTATGGAACCAACCTAGGTGTCCTTCAATAGATGAATGGATCAAGAAACTGTGGTATATATGCACAATGGAATCTTACTCAGGCTTAAAGAAGAACGAAATTGTGGCATTTTCTGGTAAATAGATGGAACTGGAGAATATTATGCTTAGTGAAATAAGTCAATCCCCAAAAGCCAAAGGCCAAATGTTTTCTCTGATAAGCAGATGCTGATCCATAATGGGGGTGGGGGAAAAGGGACTTTAGATTGTGCAGAGGGGGGCTGGGGATGTGGCTCAAGCGGTAGCGCGCTCGCCTGGCATGCGTGCGGCCCGGGTTCGATCCTCAGCACCACGTACAAACAAAGATGTTGTGTCAGCCAAGAACTGAAAAAATAAATATTAAAAAATTCTCTCTCTCTCTCCCCCCCTCTCTCTCTCTCTCCCTCTCTCTTTAAAAAAAAAAAATAGATTGTGCAGAGGGGAGTGAAGGCAGGGGAGAGGGTGTGGGAATGGGAAGGACAGTGGAATGAGATGGACATTATTACTCTATATACATGTATGATTACACTACCGGTGTGACTCTGCACCATGTTCAGTCACAGGAAGAAGTTGTGCTCCATTTGTATATAATGTATCAAAATGAATTCTACTGTTATGTATAAGTAATTAGAACAAATTAAAAAATAAAAATAAATAAACTTAGAGAAGGAAGAAAAACAACATGGTTTTATTTACATATATACACACATACACACATGATTACACTACTTATAAATAAATAAATATAAATTATATATATATGGGACAGGGTCTCCCTAAGATGCTTAGGGCCTCACTACATTGCTGAGGCTGGCTTTGAACTTGTGATCCTCCTGCTTCAACCTTCCAAACTGCTGGGATTGAAGGTGTGAACCACCATACCCAGCCTCATATGGTACTTTCTTGTAAAGAAACTGAAATTGTCCACACATCTGCAGCACAGTTGGCTGCTTACTCCATACTGCATTTGCTCCAAGGGAGTGTATATGATCTTGTCCTCATTGCCATGTTGACATACCAATTGTCGGCCTGGAGGGAGATGAACTGATGACGTCCCTTCCCTAAAACCACTTTGTGGGTCCTCATCTCACATACACAGGCTCACTCCAAAGACTGATCTGGAGAACATGAAGCACTTTGATCACATACAGTAGGTGCATGGATGTTAAAATATAAACTGAGTTTTGGGCATACCATAGAGAGAAAGTAGATCCTCAATAAAAGTGGAAGATACAGCCATCCCAAAAGATGAATTAATCTCAATATGGAAATATAGGTGACATGAGAAAAATAAAGCAATAAGACTGAAAAAAGATCAAGAATGAGAACAGGATATCCATTCTTCCAATTCTTGTGTTATAAAGTACTAGAAATTTTAGCCAGAGCAATTAGACAAGAAAGAAAAATTAGATACAAATAAGAAAGGAGGAAGTAAAATTATCCATGTTTGCCAATGATATGATTCTAAGAAAACCATAAGATCTCCACCAAAAGACTCTTAGAACTACATTTTGTAAAGCAGCAGGATACAAAATAAAAATTTAAAAAATCAGTAACATTTCTATATAAGCAATAATGAACTCACTAGGAAAGATATCAGAAAAGCAATCTCATTCACAATAGCCCCCCCAAATGAAATAAAATATCCAGAAATAAACCTAAGGATGTGAAAGACCTCCACATTGAAAATTATAAAACTCTGAATAAAGAAAATGAAGAAGACATTAGAAGCAGAAAGTTATCCCATGTTCATATTTAAGAGAATTAATATTGTTAAATTGGCCATATCACCCAAAGTGATCTACAGATTCAATGCAATCCCCATCAAAATATCAATATCAGTCTTCACAGAACTAAAAATAATCCTACAATTTATATGGAACTGAAAAACATCCTGAATTTCCAAAGCAATCCTAATCAAAAAGGGCAATATTGGAGGTTTCACAACACCTGATTTCAAAACATACTACAGAGCCATACTAACAGAAACAGCATGGTATTGGCATTAAATATCAAACAAACAAACAAACAAACAAAAACAAGCACACAGAGCAATGAACTTGAATTAAAGACCCAGAAATAAATCCACACATCTAAAACCCACTGATTCTGGACAATGTGTCACAAACATAAATTGAAGAAGGCAGCCTTTTCAACAAATGATTCTGGGAAAAATGGATATCGATATGTAGCAGATTAAAACTAGATCCATACCTCTTACCCTGTATAAAAATAAATGTAAAAGGGTAACAGACCTAAATGAAAGATTTAAAACTTTGAAACTACTGGATAAAAACAGGCAATACACTTCAAGATACTGGCACAGAAAATTATTTCCTAGATAGTACTACAAAAGCCCAGCATACAAATCAAGAATTGACAAATGGAATTACATAAAATTATAAAGCATCTGCATAGCAAAAGAGAGAGTGAAGGGACATCCCACAGAGGAGAGAAAAATCTTTGCCAGCTGTTCATCTGACAGAGGATTAATATCTGGAACAGGTAAACTCAAAGCTATCAACAAGCACAAATAATTCAATCAGTAAATAGGTCAATGATCTGAACAGATCTTTTCACACACACAAAAAAAGCACAAATGGCCAATATATACATGAAAAAAATGCTTATGCTCAACATCTTTAGCCATCAGGGAAATGCAGTTCAAAATGCACTGACTTTCCATTTCTCTCCAATCAGAATGGCTATTAGTAATAAATATATAAATAAACAAATAAATACTGGTTATGATGTGGAGAAAAAGGAATCTTTATTCACCTTGGAGGGAAAGTTAATCAGTAAAGCCATTATACAAAACACTATGGAAGTTTCTTAAAAACTAAAAATACAATTACCACCTGATTCAGCTATACTACTCCCAAGTATATATCCAAAGAAAATAAAGTCAGCATTCAAAAGAGTTATGTACATGTCCACATTTATTATGACATTATTCACAATAGCCAAGATATGGAATCATTCTAGGTGCCCATTAACAAATGACTGAATAAAAAAAATGTGATATATGTACATAATGAAGTATTATTTAGCCCTAAAAACACTGAACTTATGTGAAGAAAGATGAATGGAACTGGAAGATGTCATGTTAAATGAAATACATCAGACTCTGAAAGACAAATATTACATATTTTCTCTCAAATGTGGAAGCTAGAGGAAGGAAAGAAGATGATATGAAAATAGAAGAGGGACATTAGTGAATGCGAAGGGGCCCATGCAAAAGGGAGTGAAAAGGGATGGGGAAAGAATGTAGAAAGTAGGGTGGACTTAATTGAGGTATGTACATGCATGTACAGAAATGTCACAATGACACCCATTAATTGATATAATATGTTAATAATAAAGAAATACATGACATGTCAGATACTCTGCAAATAAACATTAGGATAAAACTTAGAGATTTTAGCAAATGTAACAAAATAATACATTTTTAATTTATACCTTTGCTCCATCTGAAATATTATCCCAGTTTCCACCACTCAAAGAGAACTTGCCATTGCCTATACGAAGCAGAATCTCTTCAGGAGTATCATTGGGGCCATTAGCAAATGGAGTGTAGCTATTGATAAAATAATTTCAATAGACATAAAAGTCAAGCATGCATAATAAATATAATGAAGGACATGAATATATAATTATATGTAAATATTTATTATAGAAAATTACAATCATCTAATTCTTTCAATGTTAATATCAATTGTATACTTCAAATAATGAATTCTAATCCTAATAAAGTATTTAATAAAATTAAGAATCTTGCCTATATCATTTTTTCCTTTTGTCTTTGGTCCATTAATCAATGTGAAAGTAAATAAGAGTGGCTTTCAAGTAAAGTTAGTTTTAGAACCAGACCACAATAAAACACACATTTTGCATTCTCTTAGGTTAAGTAAGCAAACAAATATATTTACTCTTAGGGAAATGTTATTGATGTATATTTAAAATGTTTTTACTGTGTTAGTTGAATTTTTCATTAATATTTTACTTTTATCAACATTATTAGTGGGATAGGTCCATAATACTTTTAATGACTGTATATAAAAAAGGTTAAATATTTATATCAATATAATTAAAATCTGGAGACATCAAAATTATTATGTAGATCAAATTACTCATGGATGGGAAGATTAAAAATGTCAAATTAAAGTTGTTTTTAAAACTTAATCAGAATGAAAAAGTTAATCATATTTGTGCCATTTTAACAGGTGGAACTGAAATGCTATTCAAATTTTGGACTTGGAAATCTGATCCATAGTTACAAATGTGTGGACTGTACTGTCTGAATTACCTCATATAATAATTAAATTAAGAAAATACTAAATACACATATAAACCATAATTTCTTGTTTAGTCATGATGTAAATATTTGAAAGCAGCAAGTTTCAAATAGTATCCTATGGTTTAAAAACCAATAATGTTGACTGCATTTGATATGAAAATGTTAGCTACCTTTAATTTAATTTGAGCATTTATTGTAGTTTATAACTGAATATTCTGCATAAACTTGTAAGAACTAAAAATTATATGAAATTCAATGACATATGCAATTATCACTATGCCAACTGAAATTTCAAAGCAATTGTTTTACATTTTTATATGTAAAATTTGCATGTTTTTGTACCACTTAAAAAATTAAACATTAGGACTGGGGTTGTGCCTCAGTGGTAGAGCTCTTGCCTAGCATGTGTGAGGCACTGAGTTTGATTCTCAGCACTGCATATAAATAAATGAATAAAATAAAGTATAATTTTATTAAATATATATTGCCAGGAAAACTAGAATTCAAGTACCTAAAAAATGAACATCAATAAGTTCAATGGGCAAGTTCCTATTGAAATACAATTATCTTATGATCAGGTAAAAACATTAAAAAGTAATATGCTCTATGTAAACAATTAAAATATAAATGTACACTTTATTCTTAAAATTTTTATTTCACTTAAAATCCCTTTTCTAATTACTATAACTCAACAGTACCTCATATATAGTATGTTGCGGTTTTAATCTTTTGAAATGTTAGGAAGATTTTTCTTCAGGTTATTTTTTTCTATTCTCTTTGTAAGATAAAGATATATAGGTGAGATTTAAACAATAACATGAGTATATCAGTTTCTTACCCAGCCAACATCGTGTAAAAAAGGACTCCTAAACTCCAAATATCACAAGCAGCATCATATCCCTGCTGCATAAGAACCTAAGAAAGAAATATTCATTATGTGGTATTACTTAGTACAAACTCAATTTTCCCATCCAAAACAAAGTTGTTTTGCTTCTAATAGTCCCACAAACGCTCACAATATTGAAGTGTAAATCAGTTTATATACTTAAGTAGTAGTAAATATTCTTCTGCAATTAGCAAGAAGTGAAAAAAAAATGGCATTATAAATTACTTTAGTCATGGGCCATACCAAAAAACAACCTTGACTTTAATGAGCTTTCACCCCTCCACACAGGACCTGAGATATACAGACACCTAAATTTAAGACTGATACGTACAGAGAGTTTATATTATAAGAGTACTAAGACTTTTAATTCTGATGCTGACTCTATGCCAAAGGTATTATCATTCCAATTTTGAAGATGAGGGAAGAGACAGATGTTAGGTAAATTGTCCAGCATCACAAAGCTAGGCAATAGTAGAGCAGGCATTCTTACTCTAGAATATGTGCTTTTAATATCTATCATAACTGCCTCTTTAGTACACGAGAGATGGTAGGATAATATTTTTTTTCTTACATATGATGGATAAATGTATATTTTACATACAAGGCTGATTTATTGAGATCAGCAGTGTATTTCTAGACTACAAATACACATTTGATATATGTTGAATAGCTTTTGTAATTTTGCATACAATAATTTACAGAACGTTTTTGCTCACTGGGACAGTATTAACAAAAATCAAATAATATCTTAATATTCATGTGGGATTTCTCTATGAAGTTAATAGTTTGTTAGAAAAATAAAGATATGAAATGAAGCCTTTTGTATTTTTTTTAGAAAATAAGTCTACTGCTAAAGCCTCTAGACACAGAAACATTATTGATGCATTAACCCTGAGGACTACATAAACACTAGAATGGACTTTTCACCTACAAAAGGCTAAAACTATTAATGTTTGGTTTTACCAAATGGCAGGCATGAATAATGAGTACGTTACTGATTTAAAATGAGATATAATGAATTTTCTTATTCAAAGAATACATGTGCAATAGTGAGAAGCTAAAGAAGGTATCCCAAAATATTAAAACACATATACACAGAGGGACAGAGATAGGGAGGGAGATGGGAGAAGAAAAAGAGAGAGATCTATTTGCCTTAAGTAAATAATAGAAGTAGAGAATACAGTGGCCTTAATAAATACCACTATAGATAAACTACTCATATCAGAGTAAACTTAAGTTGGTATGCTCTAGTAAAACATAAACCTTTACTGCTAGCTCTTTTTTTTTTTTTTCATTACCTCTTATAGTTGTGAGAATCCCATATTTTCTCTGGTTGCCTTAAGAAGCTTTGAAAGCTTCCCTGATTATCCATTGCATAGCCACACTTGAGGGCCATTGTTTAAGCTGGGTAGGTGAGGGTTAAACAACAAATCAGCTATTGGTATTTCATATTTCTATATCCTTGCCAGATTCTGTGGCATGCACCTGTAGTGCCATCTACTCAGGAGGCTGAGGCAGAATGATTGCTTGAGCCCAGAAGTCTGAGGCTAGTCTGGGCAATACAGTGAGTCTTTTTCTCAAACAAAACAAAACAACCCATACTTTTATAATCTTCCTAGTTATGAGAAAGTGTGCAGGAGGTGTAACCCTGCTTAAATAGGGCTGACCATGAAAACCTGATTCTTAAAACACATACTGTATGGGTAAAGAAGAAGCAATTCACTTTTGTTCTAGATCTAGTCTCAAATGTCCTACAATAGTGAGAACATTCAGTTACAAAAGAAACATGGTAGGGAGATGTGATGAATAAACATACAGTACAGAGGCTTTGTCACACATGTTTTTACTTGCATTAAATTAAAGACAGAGGAGAAGGAAATCACAATTCAAGTAGTCACTGCCATAACTTTATCTGAAATTTGGCTTCTTAAGTTAGCAAAAAGTAAAATATACAGATATTGTCATTCCCTTTGCTCTAAAGTTTAAATTAATTCACATTTGGATCAAAACATATGCCAGAGCCAGTGAAAAGCAGGGTAACTTCAATATTACTTTATCAGAAGCTGCAGACACAACATTCCTCAGATCTGTCATAAGCTCCATTCAAACTTGAACATTTAGACCTTAGTAGGCATTAAATACAAGTTTAATAATATGACATCATAATTTTTCCTTCATAAAGTAATAAAAAAATTGGAGATATATTAACTTTTGGGACACAGTTATGTAGTAAAGCACATCTATGAAGTAAACCTTAAGAGGCTGATTGAAGTGATGCATATCCTAAATGGTGAATGAATATTCTCTCTCTATAATAAGGCTAAAGCTATAAAAATAAGTTGTTCTCTTAGTAAACCAGGACTCCATACAAACTATGATGAAATAATCTCAAATCATAAAAGGCCCATAAAACAGTGTCATGCCTGTTTTTAATATCAAAATCTTAAAACAAAGGCTGGTCTGTAGCTCAGCAGTAGAGCACTTGCCTAGCAGGGACCTGGGTTCAATCCTAGTGTAAATAAATAATATCTTAAAAAAGATTCATAAAATTTTAAAATAAGAACTTTTCATTATCAGAAAGTTATATTTCTATATTTCTAGTTTGATTATTAGAAAAATATTTTTCCAAGCTACTTTAAATATATATTACATTAATATAGCTTGAAAGGGCTGCCATTTATAAAAATAAAATCATAAAATATGCCTATGAGATATTACTTCATCTTTAAATTATTGTCCGATTTTTCCTGATTTGAAAATTCAAATTTTCAAACTTGAAATGGTATTCTGATTTATATTAAACATACAATGATTTATACCAATTATCAATATCCATATATGTAAGAACAATTCCTAATTTACAAACAAACTTATATAGAAACTTTTGTAGCCAATGCCATCCCTAACTCATTTTTCACCAAACTTACTTTCACTGCTGTGGGAGGTGCTAGTATCATAGTCTCTATCCCATGGTTGGAATAGTTAGAGCTTTCTATATATGAAATTTGCTCCTCTACTAAGCCAGTCTGACCTCTTCTATTTCTTCCCCCTGATATCTACATCTAAATGCATTTACCACTGTAAAATAAACAATGCCCTGTTTATAAACATTCCTGTGAGGTTATTTTCTCTGGCAGTTAGAAGATCCTAAAGAAAATCGGGGATACCACTGATCTTATATATTATACATCATGCTAACTAATATAAATAACTGCATGTTCAGCACAAACTGATTTTGTTGCTAAGCCATTGTTAGGTTTTGAAAAATCATTTAAGTACTTTGAGCCTCAGTCTCCTCATTTAGAACATGTAATATGTTGAGGCTGTGGCCTGTCTTTACCCTGTCGCCCAGTTCTAAAAATGGTACGATTCTAAAACTAGTATAAAGCCTGACAGAACAGTCTGATTATGATATTCAGATTGGTTTAAGATGCTCATTATTAGTCTGAATATTTACCTTAGGTATTACTGCAATTCACTAATTGAAAGAGTTTACAGCTGGGAAGGACAAGATAACTCAGCTTTTACCTGCCTGCCTTAACATATACATGGCATTGTTATGTTAATGAAAGGTGAACACAGAAGTATTTAAATACCTCAGGCGCTACAAAGTTTGCAGTGTAGCAGGGAGTTAAGAGAAGTCCATTTTCTCCTCGAAGCTGTTTTGCAAACCCAAAATCACAGATCCTAATTGAATCTGCATCCGCTGATTCATCCATGTATAAAATATTACTAGGTTTAAGGTCACGATGAACAACCTTGAAAATAAAGGAAAAGAAGCATTACATTTATATAGCTAGCTAAATATTTGCCAAACAAAACATTTCAATGTTTCCCAGAAAAGAAACTCCTAATTATTACATATTGAAAATGAGTATTTCTCTGATATATGGTCTAAAGTATACACAGAAAATTATCTCTATCAGATATACACTCCGGTTTCCACTCAAGCCACCAGTGTTGTTAACCTTTTCCAATTTCAACTCTTAGTTCCACTTTTGGATATTATGGACTAAGACCTTACCAAACATACCCCTACACACAGTAAACAACTTAAAAGCTGGATATAATATAAAAACTCAACTATATGAAGGTGCTGTGTGAATACAAGTAGAAAGAATCTGGTAAAAAACACACATTTGGTGCAAAGAAGAAATACAGTGATCTACAGGAGTAGGTTCCGGTAACTGTGCAATCCCTACAATACACAGTGGTGATAAAAACATGTATGGAAAATTCTGCAGTATTTCTGGCTTGAAGAAAAAGAAAATAGATTCTGGGGAACTATTAATGCTGACTCAGGAAATACTATATATAAGTGAAAGCCTGAACAGACTCCTGAATCAAAAATTTGTAAAACAGCCAGGCATGGTGGCACAGGCCTATAATCCCAGAAGCTCGGGGAGGCTGAGACAGAAGGATCAAAGCCAGCCTCAGCAAAAATGAGGCACTAACCAACCAGTGAGACCCTGTCTCTAAATAAAGTACAAGTAGGGCTAGGGATGTAGCTCAGTGGTGGAGTGCCCCTGAGTTTATTCCCTGGTAAACCACTCCCAAAAGTACAGAAGATGGTTTAAGTAGTTCCTATAAAGACAAAAGATAGGAAGAGACCAGAGCTGCTGCCCTCCAAATAGGAATTTTTAGTTCAGGAGCAACAGAGAAAATTACCAACTGAAACAAAGAAAATAACAACTAGAGAAAAATAAAAGAATACAAATATATCAATAACAGTATCAGAATAGGACAAAATTAAAAATTATCACAAGAACAAGGAAAACATAATACAGTCCCAAGAAAAAAGAAAATCAATTCTAACTCTGAGATGAACCAAAATGGAGCAGATTGGGACTTGCAAGTGACAATTATAACTCTTCTCAATGAAGTAAAACAAAACAGGTTTATAATGTATGAATTTTTAGCAGAAAAATGAGAAGTCTCAGGAAAAAACCAGAAACAATGAAGAAGAACCAAATGAAATGCAGAACTGGAAAAAATTCTGAAATTACCTATGTGATGACTTTCCTGCTATTACTATCTACTTCATTTAATTTAGTTTTACTTTTAAATTTTTTTTTTTAGTTGTAGATGGACATAATACCTATTTTTATGTGGTGCTGGGGATTGAACCCAATGCCCCATGCCTGCTAGGCAAGCACTCTACCAGTGAGCCACAACCCTGGCCCCTAATTTAGTCTTACCTTTAATCAGCAGTTTATAAAACTGAAAGTTCTTTAAGGACAAGGACCAAGTTTTACTCCTATTTGAATCTGTAATATAGTTTATAATGCCTAGTATGTAGAAAGGTTCAATATGTGTTTCTTATTAATTTATTTTATTGATGTAAAAAACTGAAAGAGTATAAAATAATAAACCAAAGATGAAATGATTATCATTCTCTTCTCGAAACTTCTGGTTGTCCTTTAGAAAGGACAAAGACAAAAGAGGATTTAGCTTGTAATAGAACTACTCTACTCCTTTAATAAGATGTACTGAAAATGTACTCTATTAAGCCATACACAAAACTGATTAGTTTAATTTTATTAAGATTTTTCACTGTACGAATTTTGCAATGTCAATTTTATTGTTTATAGTTAAGGTGTATGTATACCATTATACAAAGGGTGTATGTATATCATTACAACTGTTTGAAACTTAAATTTTTGAATTACTAGCTATTTTGATTACTTACACAGCTATATATAAAATATATAGCTATATATATATAAAATAGTTGACTTTTTGTAACTCAGTTCATTTGCCTTCTTTTTGAAGAGACAGGTATATCTGCACAAAGTGGTGTCTGCTTATGATTCAAGCTATTCAGGAGGTTGAGACAGGAGAATGCCAAGTACATGACTAGGTTGGACAATTTAGCCTGACCCTATATTAAAATAAATTTATAGGGTTAGAGATGTAGCTCAGTGGTATAAAACTTTCCTAGTATGTGTGAGGTCCTGGGGCTAACTCCCAGTGCTGAAAACAAAAACAAACAAACAAAAAGACAGGAGGCAAAATAACAAGTTTGCCTGCCTCTCCATCACAAATATATTAATATTTCAAATGTTTGGAATCTAAATTTCTTACTATATTTGGGAGAGTGATAATAAGGCACACAGGAAAACTGCAAGAACTTCACATGTCAGGTATAATTTCAACAATTGTTACAATATGTCCTTCAATAATTGTTTCACTTTTAAGTTTGATTAGGTTTAATAATTTTAAAGGCAAGATTAGGCATATCTGTATAGTTCAAACCATGTTCAAAACTAATACGCTATTAAATCAAGGCCAAGAGACAGTTAGAAGAAAATTAATAAAGCACTAGCCAATTTCTTAAATTCATAACCTTTACTACATTATGAGTTTTATTAAGATATTCTTTATTAAATATACAAGTGGCAGAAAAAGCAATTCATTTTAGGTGGCATCAACTCCTAATATAATTTCATGACGATATAGGTCCCATAATTATATGGAAGACTATAACTTACTCCTTGACAATGAAGATAATCAACTGTCTTAGTTATTACATACAGTACATCACTAGCTTCCTGTTCTGAGAAACATTTTTGCTTGAGAATACGGTCCAGTAGTTCTCCTCCTTTCATCAAATCCGTAACAAGGTAAACATATCTACCATCATCAAAGACCTAAAAAAGAACATATTTTTAGGTGTTATTATTTGCAATTATAATTATAAACTGTTTAAATTATACTTACTTTGCAAGTGAACCTCTAGTATATAAAATAGATACATTATTTTTTTTTAGTTTTGTAAGTTATAGTTCATCAAATGATATAAATGAAAAAGTAAAACTCCATGACTTTCAAATGATATACATCAAGTTTTTTTAATATATTATAGCTATTTTTTCATCCCTAGCAGTGAAGTTTCTTTCCAACAGTAAGCATATTATTTGTCAGTCCATTTTCTGACCTGGTATCTTAAGTCTATACAGCATTCAAATAGTGTTTCAAAGCAAATAAATCAGAAAACTATTTATACCCTTTACACTCCAGGCATGTGACATAAGAGGAGCGTGTTTGTATGTGTACATACAAATCAATATATTTTCATTCTACAAATACTATTTAACTCAAGGAACAATCCATAATGCCACAGCCAACTGCTATATAATCAAGAAAATAAGCCAGGTGCAGTGGTGCAGTCCTGTAACCCTAGTGGCTTGGGAAGCTGAGGCAGGAGGATCACAATTTCAAAGCCAGCCTCAGCAAAAGCACGATGCTAAGCAACTCAGTGAGACCCTGTCTCTAAATGAAATACAAAACAGAGATGGGGATGTGGCTCAGTGGTCAAGAACCCCTAAGTTCAATCCCCGGTACCCTCTCCCCCAAAAGAGAAAGTAAAATCTTCAAGAACCTGGTAGACAACTATAGAATGATAAATGGTGCTAATTACAATGTTAACTACTTAACCAGCCAGAATATATTGAAGTAATGAAGACACTCTCTTTTACCAACCACTGTAGTGTTTTGTTCTGTTTGTTTTGTTTTTGCAATTCTATGAGAGTAGGAGTACAGAATCTTAGGAAAAGAGAAATAATGTGGTAAATTTAAAAGTCTTCACATTTTATAGTATGACATTATAAACAGTACAAATATAAAGATCCAAGTCATAGCTTCTCTAATATAGATTATATCTATATTTCAAAATACCTACATCCTTTAAAGTAATAATGTTGGGATGCTGTCCATAGCGCATCAAAATTTCAATTTCTTCTGAGGGGTCTCGCTTACTTTTGTCAATGATCTAAGAAATTGGATGAAAGAAAAAAATCATTTTATTTGTCTAAAATGAATGGAATATTTTCCATTTGTTTATACATATAAACAGATACTTAAAACTCAAGGATACTGCTTATTACATTAATATTTAAATATGTTCTATTACTGAAACTTAACAAATAAGAACTTTCTTTAATATTATATTCCATTTCTCTGAGACTATATTAAATGATAATGTGTTCCAAATGAATTGTAACTGTCACTACCACTCAATCTTAATATGGTACATTAAAAGTATTCAAAAGCAAAAATTTCATGAAATGCATTGTTCCACCAAAAAAAAGCCTTGCAAAGAATTTCAAAATGAAAATATTCTTAGAATTCTTTTGCATCATATTATCTCTCCTCTCTCTTTCTTGTTCCACTGAAAATGTCTGCAGTTAACCTATACTTTAAATTGCCAATATCAAACAAACAAGTTAAGCTTAGTGACAATACCTTCACTGCAAATTCCAAGTTGGTAGTTGTGTGTATACATCGCTTGCAAACAGAATAAGAGCCAACACCAATATCCTCTTTCAATTCATATATTTCACCAAATTGTGCAGCATTTCCATTTATCTGTTTTTATTTTAAAAAGTAAACAACTAAGAAGAATGAAATATTTTCACATTTTCTATCTTTTGTTCTAAATATACTTTCATCTTAAATCTTAAAAACTCCAAAATAACTCATTCTAGAAAAGTTTTATTAATATTTATAAATTGGTTATATAGATTGTGAATCAATCTTAAATTACAAGCTTTCTGGTTCCTCAAGGCCAATATGATCAATCAATTAGATTTTGCCAACATTTTCTTGCCAATACAGATCATTAAGTATAATTTAAGGTTTTTAACTCTCTTTTTTTCTGAACCACACAGAAACACATTTAAATTACTTTTTAAAAAAATTATGGAACTGGGGTTGTAGCTCAGCGGTGGAGGGCTCACCTAGCAGGTGTGAGGCCCTGGGTTCAATCCTTAGCACCACATAAAAATAAATAAAATAAAGGCATTGTGTCCAACTACACATAAAAAATAAATATTTAAAAAAACTTCAAAAAAAATTATGGAAAATCCACCATCAATAACAGAGAAAATAATTATCCCCAAACTTATATTTTCCCAAACTGAATAATGTGATTAAGTAGAATTTACCTGAACAACTGGCAATACATTCGCACTTGTGATTGGAGTGATTTTATATTCTTCGGCAATAGAAGTTGCAACAAAGCTAAATCCTTTGAAAAGCTGATGAGCATTTGCACTAGCTGGCAAACCAGGAGAATCTAATGTTCAAATAATTATATAATTAAAATTATACAGAATTTTATGGTATAAAATGTGAGCAGTTTTTCAAATGTAAAGGAAACCATTAAATTTGACCATCTGACATACTATTTTATTTATACTATTTCATTTGTCTCTCATCCCTAGTATGCATATTCCATGTGGTCAGTAATTTTTGTCCTCTTTTGTTACTGCCACTTCCTCACTGTCTAGTACCTGGTAGGCATTCAATATTTGTTGAATAAATATATGACTAAATAACACAATCAGTAAACCATAGCAAAATCTAAACCGAGTCTCTATCTCGCGTCTTATTTCTTGCCCTTTACCCTGTATTTCATTTGCATGTCAAAAGAATTACGAAATGGGAAAAAAAGTGCCTCCCACTTCTCTAGTCCCTGCTTCTCTGATAGATATGTTCTATTTAAAGACTCTACTTCACAGGAGGCCAAGAAACGTTGTACATTACTCCTTGAAAACTTATTATTAATATTTTACCAAGGATTATAGTTTATTTAATCATCAATACCATAAAAATTGTGATTTTATGTGTAAGCGTGCATTACTTACCTTTGGGTGTTTTTGCAGTAAATTCAGGATCAAAACAAAAAGTATCATCTGGTTTTCCAGAAGCAGGTTTGAAAGGTGGCTGAATTTCTCTTTTATATAATTTCTAGAAATAACAGAGAACATTTAAAATGTTATTATATATGTTGAGCATTCCTAGTCCAAAATCTTAATTCAAAATGCTCCAAATTCCAAAATCTTTTGAATGTCAACAGGATATTATTGCGGAAAATTCCACAATAAATCTCACATGACAGGTTGCAGCTAAAATGCAGGCTGACTAAAAATCTTCTGTAAAATGACCTTCAGGTTATGTGTACAAGGTATATATGAAACATGAATGAATTTCGTGTTTAGACTGGCCCCATCCCGAAGGTATTACATACGAATATACAAATATTAAAAATCTGAAATCTATAATATTTCTATTTCCAAACACTTTAGACAAAGTAAGGTGAAGTAGAACATAATATTCACAGTTCTTAAAATAAGACTCATAATTCCTTCAGATATCTGTTATCTAAATTCTTAAAAAATTTAGAGACAATTGAGCATTTGCACTAGCTGGCAAACCAGGAGAATCTAATGAGACCAAAAAAAACAGCAATTATGCCACAACTTGCATTCACAAGGAATAAAATATTCAATTTCAGGTATAAAAAGCTGATTAGAATTCTCACTGGTGCTATAACCATATGGAATATGTCCTAATGTCAACCTGAAAATTAATCAATAATGTTTATATTATTAAAAATCAATATAGACTATTTTCAATAAGTATGTATTTTAATTAAAGTACTATGATTTCCCATTGAAATGCACATTAAATATACTATTTAGGGCTTTATTCACAGAATAAAATGCAGTATTTTAAAAAATATTTTTTAGATGTTGATGGACCTTTATTATTTTCATTTATTTATATGTGGTACTGAGAATCAAAACCCAGGGCCTCACACATGCCAGGCAAGTGCTCTTACCACTGAGCCACAACTCCAGCCCATAAAAATGCAGTCTTGTTTAACAATTTCATTTGCTAAAATTTTTATATTTAAAAACACAGTGGGGTGGAGCAAGATGGCAGCTAAGTTCCTCTGGCAATCTTTTCTCACAGATGCACTGAATACCTATTCATCCATCAATCCTACCTTCACAAAAGCTGATGAAATCAAGTCAGAGATTATAGTTCCAGTTTTTAGTATATAAAAAGGAAGCATCATATAAGGCAGGAAGGAAAGCAATATGGTGCCTACAACAAATATGCTTCATCACTAATGACACACTTAGACTGTAAGTGGAGGCATAGAATAAAATAGTCCATACAAAAGGAACACAAGAGTAGCCATACTTTTATCACATTAAACCAATCTTATCAAATGCAGAGACAAGGAAAAGTCACTATATAAGGATAAAAGGGTCAATTCAGCAAAGTTAAATAACAATCCTAAACATATATGTATCCAATATAGTAGTACCTAAATATATAATGCAAATATTAATATACCTAAAAAAGAGGTAGACTCGTACTACACTACTTAGGGACTTTTAACACCCTAGTCTCAGCAATGGAGAGATCATCCAGACAGAATATTGACCCACAACGAGTGGAGTTAAATTGCACCAGAGACCAGTTTTTACCACTAAGAAATAACAAATATTTGAGGATATTCGTTAACTTAATTAAAATACTATAAATGTATCAAAGGACTGTTACTTAAATAATATGTATAATTTTCTGCTTTTACATGTTAGTTCAAAGTAAATTTAGTTTTAAAAGATAGAAAATATATGTATGCAACAATGTTTTAGAAAACTACTTTTTCACAGCTCACAGTTCCATAGAAAAATTTAGAGAGAGTTACATTAAAGGAATTTTCACATATTGAAATATGTAAACTTTCCACTAATTTATTTAAATTAAAGACAATGAATGGTGAGAAACATTGATCAATGGGTACTAAGTTACACTGGGGTAGAAATCAAAAGTTCTGTTGAACTATTGCATAATAGGTTTACTATAATAACAATAATGTACTGTACATTTCAAAAAATTTTAACAAAAGATTTTGAACATTTTCAGAATAAAGAAATGATAAATGGGGTAAGGGGTTGTGGCTCAGTGGTAGAGCGCCTGCCTAGCACATGCTGAGTTTGATCCTCAGCATCACATAAAAATAAATAAATAAAATAAAGGTATTGTGTCCAACTACAACTAAAAATTAATATTTTTTAGGAAAAAGAATGATAAATGTCAGAGGCGACAGACATGTTTACTTTGATTTAAACATTAAAAAACATACATGTCTCTAAACATTGCATGGTACCCCATACATAAGTACATATTTATGTTTTAATGTATTAGTTAAAAATATAAATCTAAAAAAATAAACTATTTAGATATAACAATGGGAGAAATGTACTTTCCTTTTTTCTAGGTAAGTGGAAAGGAAGAATAGAAGAGCACTGTGAGAAAATGAAAAAGGAATACAAAGATACCTAAGATTTACATAGATATGACAAAGAGCTAGCTCCCATGCAGCATTCCCACTCAGTGGTGTTTTGGGGTATTACAACCAATGGATTACAAGATGATACGGTTTTGCAATAATCAAATTTTGCCAACTGAAACTGTGCATGGTGGCACATGCCTGTAATCCTAGTGGCTTGGGAGGCTGAAGCAGGAGGATCATGAGTTGAAAGCAGGCCTCAGCAAATTAGTGAGGCCCTAAGTGATTCAGTGAGATGTTGTCTCTAAATGAAATACAAAAAAGACTGGGGATGTGGCTCAGTGGTTAAGCACCCCTGAGTTCAATCCCTGGTACAAAAAAATAAAATAAAATTGCCTACTAAAACCTGTTCTACAAGCCAGAGGAAGAAATGATTTGATCAGTGAATAGCAGCTTTCTATCTCTGCATTAAAATAGATACTCTTTTCCTTTTGAGGGGATTTCAATACTCATGACAGAACCACATAATATCAAAAATGTTTAACTATGATTATTATTAACACATAAAATATATAAAGCTGCTCTATAAATCAAACAAAAACTAAATCTAAGAAACTCTTATTAGTTTGAGAAGAGCAAATTTTAAAAATCTATACATGACCCAGTAGAATTTATCAGTCTGATTTCCTATCCTGTCAAAAATTTAATAAAATTGTAAGATTCTTAATACATTTAAATTTTTCAATTAAATACACCTTACATTCTTCATATACATTTCCTATAAGAACTGTTACATACTTCACACCCTTTCCCTTTTTCTTCCTCTTATATTCCCTAGCTTAGAATAAGGGCAAAAGATTAACTACATTAAACAGATATAACAATTGATAAACAAAAATATACTATTATCACACACCTACTGGTTCATGATAAATTCCATGATTTGCAATATTTATAAAAAAGAATCTCACTCTAAATATGACACATGGATTATCAGCAAAGTCCATATATTTTACTTATAATTTTATGCTCCTTCTAATATAAAGTTATTTAATAAAAAAAATTCTACTCAACTTACATTCCAGTCAATATTTGCAAAAAAAAGATGTCTTTTAATTTCCTCAACTCCTTCTGAACCTATAAAAATGGAAAGAATACTTTAATGGCATGCTTTAAAAAAATCTTGCTACTTGGTTTAATTGGCTATTATCTGTTAATAGGACTATACACATTTCATAGATTTCTCAAAGTGAAAACATCTATGATTTCTTTTCTGGCATGTTATTCATTTGTCCTTTTACTTCACTACAATAAAAAAACCTGATGTTCATAATGAACTGTACAGGGTAGTGAATTCGTGTTCAATATAACATTAAAAGTATATTTTCTTTACTTCATAATTCAACCCAATACCTCAGGTGTGTATGACAAATTAAAAACTACAAGGAATAAAATCATTCTATTATTTTAACTAAACAATTCAAATAGGATAATAGGATCACATCTAGATCCAGAGAAGGCTATCAGAAAGTAGTCATATAATAAGTATTAATGGCAACATTCTATTTACTTTGAAAAATATTAGGAAGAACAAAATAATTATCCTCAAATATCTAAAAGGGTTACCTATACAAGGTAAGATTCTGTGAATTATGTAAAAATAGGTAATCCATAACATATACATACTGATATACATAAAATAAAAGTTTTGATTAACTAGTCTAGTCTATTTTTTAACCTTTTAAACTTTTATATAATAAAGTTTATTGTTTCTAGAACAAAATGCACAATTCCAGGCATAATTGTGTAGCAAACACAAATGAACTTAACACTTAAAACAAGAAAGAATAAAGATGTAGTTATACTCCCCAAGTTGCAGTATATAATTTTAAAGATAAGAAAATAAGCATTACCCAATCTATTTGATGGATTTCTTTTGAATAACATCCTTAGAAGACTCTGTGCTTCAGCACTAAGAAACTGAGGCATTCCAAGTTTTGCTCTGAAAAAGAGGATTTTAAAAAAATTTACTTAAACTGATCATACTTGTAAATGGACAAATCTAAAAATAAATCTTAACTTTTTTTTTTTACAATGGCAAATAGTGTCCCTTATATTGTAGGGAATATAACAAAACATTAAAATGTTCTTTTACCTCAATGTAAAATCAAATTAATTTTTCCCAAACTGAAAGCAAGTGATTTGTTTCGAAAATAAAATGAGTGTGCATACTTACTTTAATATCATATTCATGGTCTCATTTCTGTCTTTACCTTGAAATGGCAGAGTACCAGTAAGCATTTCAAACTAAAAGAATAAAATAACCTCAGAGTCAATTTAGCACAACTTAGAATATATAATAAAATTTCTTAGAAAAAACTTGAAACTTATAGTACATGAATATTAAATTATTCAAGATTTACATGAGACTGGGTCAAAATAGAACTAGAAAACTTGGTCACGTAAGGAAATAACATTGTTGACATGGGAATCTTAACAACCCCTCAAATGCTACATTTGTTAAAAATAAATTCTTTCCCCACTAGTTGTCATTACCATTTTCTATTAATGTACCACTCTTCCAATCCCTAAATTTCATAAATTTTAGTGATACCTTTTTCTTTGATCTTTATCCTTGCTTTCATCTGTATCACTTTTCCTGTTATTAAAGTTAGTCATGACTTCATTTGAAATGATTTCCTCTTCTTAAATTCTAGAATCTTACAAGTGTCTTGTAAGGTGTTCTTTTGGTCACCCTATTTCTAGTTTCTTACACTTCCAATCCACTTATATATTGCTGCCAAAGCTAATATTCATAAAGCACATATTTTCTCTAACTTGCATCCTGTTTAAGAATCTACAATACTGTATCACTTCTCAGAAAAACAACACAAACACTTACAGGTTTGCAGTTTCACTTCCTCCAACTTTGCCGTCTTTCTTCACTACTCTAGTCAAACTAGTTCCCAAAGCCTTTGCTAATATCATCATAATCCTCTCCTTCTTGACATGCAACAATTCAAATTTTACCTATCACTCAAGGCATAACCTGAGTTCTAGCTCCCCTACTTTTTCTAGGTCAACTTTTATGAAGTTTCTCTGAATCCTAAAGTACTTCTGGATAGTTTATTTAGCTATTGCAATTGTTTCCCCAACCAGATTGTATGTGTTCTAGGTCAGATAAAATGCCAAATATACTTCAAATCAGTTTCCACCTCACTGATGTGTCATACACTGTGTCATTCAGTGATAAATAGGCAAAGTGGATTATCAGATGTCAGAAGCAAATTATATCTGATTTAATAGCTATTTACCTATCATCCTACTTACTGCTATATATTCTATGTGTAATCTCATATCAAATTAGTCAGTCTGTCTTCAATAAGCATCTAATAAATGATCCCTAGTCTAGTTACTGTGTGATGAAAAGTAACACAAAACACAATTCTTCCTTTCAAGAGGATTACATTCTAGGCAATGCCTGAAACAAATGGACAATAAAACATTGTATGTTAAGGTGATAAACTCTAAGATATCAAATTAAAATAAAAATATCATATAACTGCTAAACTCAGCATTCCGAAATCTAGAATCTGAAATACCTTGCTCAAAGTCTCAAATTTGTAAAGTTTATAACAATGCTGCCATTTACCTTTGTAGTAACAACTTCAAAAGACTAAAATCCTAATTATTTTAAAACAGCTAGCCAACCACAACTTTTAAGCATTAATCATGAATTAATAGAAGCTTATTTTTAGTGACACATTCCAAAATTTTAACTAAACTAAAATTCTAAATAATATGAACTATATTCTGACATGATTAATAAAAATAATACTACTTACCATAAGTACACCATATGACCACCAATCAGCACTCTGTGAATGGCCTCGCCTATTTACTACTTCAGGAGCCATATACTCTACTGTACCACAAAATGAGTAGGCCTTCTTTTCCTGATCTACTGACTCCTTGCTGAGTCCAAAGTCTATAACAACAATATAAAAACATTGAAAACCTTCAGAAAATAGAAAACAACAACAACAAAAAATAAGGTGTTAAACATGAAAACAATTAATGGATAGTCTACAATTACTCCTAAGAAAACTATACAATGAGACCAACAATAGAAAACAGCCTATATTTCATAATGATACACTTGAAGAAGCGAAATACTGTTGGATTAAATCTCATGATCACAATACCTACCTTCAGGTCTGTGCTACAATATCATGCAACAGTTTTGAAAGAATAACATTTAAATCAAAGTTGTCATATGGATCTAAATTTTAAAACAGACAAAGGCGAGGTAGCAATTTAGTTTTAAAATATTAAAAAAGCAAAATTTTGCTAAGGCAAGTTGCATTTTTGTTTAAAGCTTTCAAAAAACTAAATATACGAATATAAAATAAATTTTATTTTTATATACTAGGAACAGAGATATGTAAATTGAAATTTTAAAGGTACCATTTTTAACACTCCCCAAATCCCAAGAAACCTACAGGCAAAAATATACAAAATATATGCAAAATCTGTATGCTGAAAATTGAAAACTTTCATGAAAGTAATAAAAGTAGACCTAAATAAATAGAGAGAAGTATTGTGTTTATTGGCTGGAAGATTCAATGTTGTTAAGAGGTCACCTTTCCAAAAACTGATCTATGGATTCAATAAAAACTTCAATAAAAACCCCTGTGATTTTTTTGTTAATTCAACAAATTGATTCCAAAATTTATGTGAAAAGACCAAACCTGTACCTTCTCTTTCCTTCCACTGCTAACTCCCTCTGCCCCATGATGTGCATGCTTTAATCTACTAAACCCCCTTCTATTTTTATTACTATTTTCATTAGTATATTAAAATTATATATGAAATCTGTATTCATTGTGGTACATTTGTACATGGATACATCATAATCTGGAAATTTCATTCCCTGTAACTTTCCCATGTTTTCCCCTGCTCTTTTCCTCTCAAACCCTTTCCACTACTCTACTAGTCTTCTATTTTCATGAGATTCATTTTTTTCCTATTTTTTTTAAATCTACAAATTCCACATATGCAAGAAAACATTTGACCCTTGGCTTGCAGGGTTTTTTTTTTTTTTTCATCTCACTTAGCATTATGTTCTGCTGTTGCATCCATTTACCAGCAAATAACATAACTTTATTCTTCTTTATGGCCAAGTAAAACTCTATTGAACATGTACACATTTTCTTTATCAATGTGTCTTTGGTGAACACCAAGAGTGATTCCATAACTTGCTGAGTGTGTCACTGTTTAAAGATTTTAGTGTTACACCTCTAACTCCATTTCCCCTGTAAGTTCTACAACTTCTACTATATGTATGGTTTTGCATACTGCAGTGATTAAGATCATATTAGGACCCACTGTAACAGAAGTGGCTATATACTGCCAAATGATTTATTGGAATATTGCAAAAAAAAATTCCATTGAAGGTAAGATTTTTAAACAAGTCATGCCAGAATAGGAAAAGTATTAATAAAAAATCCATCCTCATTCCAAAAGCAAAGATTAATTCAAAATGGACCATAGACCTGTATTCTCATAAAATTTCAAACTATAAATTTCCAAAAGAAAATGTAGAAAAAAAAAACTTGGTGAACCTGTGAGATAAGAATTTCTTAGATACAACATCAAAAGTATAATACATAGAATAAAAAAAGCTTATGTACTGGATGTCATCATAGTAAAAACTGGTCTTTAAAATATTCTAAGAGAATCAAAAAGAAGCTAGATGGGAGAAAATATTTGCAAATCACATATTAGATAAGTGACTTATATTTTTAGTATATAAAACCCACAAAATTCAATATGAAAAAAAATAATCTAATTTTTCCAAATGGGCAAAAGATTCAAAGAGGCACTTCTCCAAAGAAACCTATACATGTCAAGATGCTCAGTTTCATTAGTTATTAGAGAAACACAAAATAAAACCATAATTAGATATAACTACATGTCTATTAGAATAGCTAAAATAAAACATACTAACACCAGGAACTGGAAAGGATAAAGGGCAACTATGGGTCTCATACACTGCTAGTGGAAAGGCAAAATGGTACAACCATGCTGGGGAAAAGTGTGGAGTTTTCTCATTAACTATACACTTACCATATGATCAATTATGTCATACTTAGGTGATTACTCAAGTGAAATAAAAAAGTATGTTCATGCAAAAACTTATATACAAATGTTTACTGCAGTTTTATTCATTACTGCCCCAAACTGGAAATAATCCAAATACCCATTAATTGCCAAATGGATAAACAAACCAAGATACCACCATAAAATGGAAATATCACTCAGCAATTAAAAAAGTAGTGATACATTCAACAATACAGAAGAATTTCAAATGCAGTATCCTAGACAAATACAGCTGTGCTTAAAAGGCCATATAATGTATGTCTATGTTTATATACTTCGTGGTAAAGGCAAAACTGTAGTAACAGAAAGTAGGTTGTTGTTAGCTTGAAGTAAAGGGAGGACTGATTTTTAATGGTCTAATTTCAGGAGCTATAGAACTATTTTGTACTATTATCTTGTTGCTAGTTATAAAAGTGCAGTATTTGTTAAGACTTGCAGAGTCATATTTTTAAATAAAACTTTATATTTTTAAATAATTGCAGTTACATAAAACATTACAGGCATCTTATTTACCCTTTCCCCAGTTCCCTCATGATAACATCTTGCAAAATCATAATACAATAAAATAGCCAAGATATTGACACTGGTGCAATCAAGATACAGATTCCCATTACAAGGATCAGAAAGATCAGTTTTACTGTATGTGAATTATATACAATTTTAAAAATAAAAAGCTACATGACCAATATGGGTCACATTAGATTGGGTAGAGAGAAGTAATGGGAGGGGAGGGGAGGGGAGGTGAGGGGGGGGAATGGAAGGACAGCCAAATAAAACAGACATTATTATTGCTGTGGATATATTCATGACTGCATGACCAATGTGATTCTGTAACCTGTACACTTAGAAAAATGAGAAATTATATCCCATCTGATTCAAATGTATGATATGTCAAGATCATTGTACTGTCATGTGTAACTAATAAAAAAAAGAAATAAAATAAATAAAATAAAAAGCTACAAGACCAATATTACATCTTATGATAGAAGAGAACAATAACAATTTTAGGGCCCCTCAAAGCAGATTTTCTCACAAATGCTCAATATTTTCATTTAAAGTATCTCTTACCCTTATTTAATAACTTTATATACTATAATTTTAATTTCTAAAAATCTTTTTAATATCTTAAATATTAACTTGCTGTATTTTGAGACTTTTAAGACATGCACATTCCTTTTAGAAAATTAAATATAATAACAGTCTTTGAGGTCAGTTCAGCTGCATCTCTTATAGAGAAGGATACTGGCTTCTTCATTCACTTCAGGGAGAGGGGGAAAAGGGAGAGAATTTTTTTTTTTTGTCTTTCTGTTACTTTCCAGAGATTTACGCCAAGAGATAAAAAGTTCCTTTGTCATAAAATTTCTGACAAAACTGATGTTTAACACTAAAGTCTGCTCAGCAATTAAACGACAAAAATTTTACCATTATAAAACAAGCCACAAGATTAAATGAGATAGATATTAAACACTGGTTTCTCCAAGCAACTAGTTTAGGAAAAAAATATAGAAATCAGAGACATAAAGGAAGGGTTTTGGGAAGAGGAGGTCAAGGGTGTATTTCAGATGACTGTAAGCTTAAATGACTCTAAGATTTTAAATTTTAAAATGCATGCCCAGAACACAATCAATTTGATGAGGATTTATAATTAAGCAAAAGCAATTCCAATGATAAATTAGCAAGTAATCTTAAAAATTACTAAAATTATTTTCTTATGTACACATTTTCTCTTAAATACTTAAGAACTGTGTGATTTAAATTTCTATACATTTCTCATTCCTACCTTTCTTACCAACCCCTAAATTATGGCCCTCAAAACCACATTATAGCAACTACAGAATTTAATTCTGAGTTCAAGTTATATTTTTAATGTGTTATTATTATTAGATATTTTTTCTACCAACAGGCAAGTCCTTATATAATTAAGATTTTTTTATATACTATAGGGGGTAAGTTTTCAGAAATATTAAGTCGTGTACAATATAAATAGTGCATAAGCAAGTATGCAGATATCTGTGGATATCTACTCTCCTTTTAGTAATGTTTGGCTATACAATCTAATCTCAGTATGAGACAAATAATCCTGAAAGCACCATTAAAGCAGAAACTTTTCTATAGTCCATTGCCATTCCACAGTAGCTTGTTAAACATTAGGTCCATTCCTAAGGTTTGTTTTGCAATACCAGAGATTGAATCCAGGGGTGCTCTTACCTTGAGCTACATCCCCAGTCCTCTTAATTTTATTTTGAGACAGTCTTATTAAATTTCCCAGACTAGCCTTGAACTTGTGATTCTCTTGCCTCAGCCTCCAGAATAAATTGGATTATAGGTCGATGCTACTAACATCCAGCTGTCTTGAGAAGCTTGAATATCAACAGGTAGGGGGAAAAAGACCAATGCTTTTGTCTAAGATTACTCTTGGGAAAGTTTACAATGTTGGAGATGATTCTGCCTAGATAAGACATTCCTAAATCACTGTAGTCCACCCAGAGCCCACTGGTATCAATGAAAACAGCAATCAGCCTGCTATATTTTGATTATAGTGTTTAAAATATCAAATAGAAAATAGGAAAAGAAAGACAGAAAGGGGGTAGGACATACAGAAGGAAAGACAAAGCAGGGAAAAAAGGCAGAAAAGAAGAAAAATTAAAAGGAAGGGAGGAAGGAAGAAAGTATAAAGAAATTAAAGAAAAAATGTAATAGAAGAAAGTTTTAAAATAATTGCTGTAAAGGGTCTCACTTTAACAAACCTTACTGGAATACTTCTGAGGTTTAATTCACAAGTGTACTTTTTATCACAAAACTCTGAATTAGGTTATAATCATAAAACTATAAATCACCAAATAATATTCATTACTGTATATTTCCTTTAAAATAAATAGTGGTACAACTGTAACAAAAATACTCTGCATTGTAAAAAGAAATAATAAGTCATATTTTCTTACTATCACATACCTTGTGTCCAGTGCTTATAAACTAACATTGATCCTAACTACTCTTTCCTCCTCAGCCAGTTTAAGTCTCTAAAAGCTATACAAAAGCAGAATTCCAATTAGAAGACTAAATATAATACAACTTAGCATAATTATTCACCCAACTAAACTTACTCTTTTTTCCATCTCCTTTTGTCATCTCTGACAAAACAGATATGACTTATTAAGAAAAAAATGAAAGGAGCAATTAAATTCCAATTAGCTTTTTGATTAATGTTCAATTGCTTTAAAATAAAAAAATTATATGTTATATAAAATTTCAAAATTCTTTTGTTCTTTCTTCATACTTTTTCTTTTCAGCTTTCAATCCCTTGCAAACTTACATTGTTTCTTAGATATATGAAAAAGAAAATCAGGCTATGAATCAATAAGATTCACTAAAATTTATATTAACTTTGACACATTTACTTTTGATTTCAAAGTAACACCTTTATACTTTAATTTTACATTGATGCAGTGCACTAAGGAATTTAGAGCAACTAACCTTCTAAACTTCTACCAGTATAAAATTGTCTGTAAAGATCAAATCTTCATTTTTTCTTGCATGCTGATAATTAAACGTAGAATTTACCATCTACTCAAAGCATATGTAAACTTTGAGATTGGTCCACTCAGCAAAATGCCTTTGAAACCCATGCAAATTATACCAAGAATTAATGGTACTTTCCTTTTCATTGCTGAATAGGATTCCATTATATGGATGCATCACTGTTTATCCATTCACCCTTTGAAGAACACCTGGGTCTTTTCCAGTCTTGGGTTTTTACAAACAGAGGAGCTTTGAACATTCATGGATAGGTTTTGGTGTGAATGTAAGTTTTTACTTCTCCAGCTAAACAGGAGTGTGATTGCTATGTGGCTCTACAAAACTGGTTTATATAATACTCTCAGAATAATAAAATTATAGATATAGAACAGAAAAGGGTTTGCAGAGTAAATAAATGGGGAGAGAGGTTGTCACTATATTTCAAACATCATGAGTATGGTAAAATCTTTCAGTCTATGCTGAAAATAAGATCATGTATTTTTAGCTAGAAAATCAAACATTTTTATTTGTACAGTGCCTGAATTTTAAATTTTAAATCATAATTAAAATTTAATAAAAGCTACCTAACCTTTAATTAAACTTATTTCACTAGATTAACAAAATGCAAATCGAATGATGAAAGAAAAAAAAAAACAGACTGAGACAAACAATAAAATAATGAAAAATGAAAAACACTGGGTTTAGTACATATGAAAATTTGCATACCTGTTAACTTGATATGTCCTATTTCATCAAGCAAAATGCTGCAAAACAAAATTCACATTCAGTAAGATGGAATAAAATATTTCATATAACACATTTATATAAAAACATCAGGTCATTATTATGCAATAATGACCTATATAAAACAGGTCATTATTTGGTATATTAAAAAAATTTTAAGTAATTAACTTAAAACTAAGGTTTGTTCATATGAAAATTACTTTTCACAAATCAGTTTCATTATGTAATTCAGGGATTGTGGCTCAGCAGCAGAGAACTCGCCTAGCATGTGTGAGGTGCTGGGTTCAATCCTTAGTACCACATACAAAAATAAATAAATAAAATAAAGGTATTGTGTCCAACTACAACTAAAAAATATTTAAAAATTAAAACATGTAACTTTTACAGAATTTCTTATAATTTTTTAAAAAAAACTTAATGGGTTATGTCAAAATGTAGTTCTAATAGTAGAAATATAAAAAACAGTGATACATAAGGAGAATATAGTTTTACTTTTCTGGCTTCAGGTCTCTATATACAATTCCTAATTGATGCAGATGATCCAAAGCAAGGGCCAGTTCTGCGAGGTAAAATTTCACATCTTCCTCTGTAAACAGAACCTGAAATAAAATAATAATATACCATTTGATCTTTCTTCTAATATTGAGTATTTTAAAAAATGTACTTCTTTAAAAACCAGTAGACAAATTTGGGAAAATAATAAGAAAATGAGTGTAGTCAATTCTTATTGATTGGAATAATGATTATGTATACAAAGAATTAAGATTTCTAGATAGGTGAAACTAATTTCTTTATGAATCTTTTTTCTTAAATATTACCCATTTTAATGTTAATCTTTCTAAGACATGATGTTTTTATATCTTCTTATACTAAGTATACTACATATAATTCACCCTTTTTGATTATCTTGTGGTACACTTAGGTATTTGAAGTATATGATATTTTGCTTTAACACTGGTAATTCCATTATTTGTTACTCTCTCTTTCACCATCTACTCTCACTTCTCAGGTATTTCATTTCATTCAGCTACACAAACTGAAAGTCTCTAATATACCACTATGAGTTGTTGAACTAGTAGTTATTATATCACACACAATTCTAAACTCATCTCTGATCTAAGAGGTACCTCTAAGCCTCTTCTGTTAGCAAAGTTTATGAATTTAATGACACTGTATTCCAAAATCTTTCTGTGCTTGGAAAGAGAGCTGTTATAACAAAATGAATATAGTACTAAACTTGAAACCAGAAAACACAGTTTAAAATCAGACATCACTTAGCCCCCTTAGCCTCAGTTTCTAAGTCTAAAAAATAAGGAAAATATCTGTATTATCTCCCTCGGTTCTTGTCAGAATTAAATTAGTTTATATGGGGCAAAAATATTTTTAAACTGTAAAATATTTTATGTACAACAAGAAGCTATTGTTGTAACAGTTTACATCTATATTCATTCACAAGTAAATGTTAATTTATATTACCAAATTGGGAACTATTCCATGATTATATGTAAATTTTAGAGTTTATTAAGGGCTTCCAATTGGCAAAAGTGTTTTTTTTTTAGCCCTGAGTTATTTTCATTAAAAAATGGGTCATTAATAAGGCTCGAAATTTGAATAAAATATCATAAAATCCAATAACCAGTTTCGCCATTTAGTATTATGGCCACAACATTTCACAATATATAATTCAAACTACTAATAAAACTCAAGAGAGTAAGCAATTAAAGATACATTTTAAAATGATCAATGGAAAAAAAAAAACAAATATTCATTATCTAAGTTTCAGAAGTATTAATTTGGACTGTTTATATTATAGAAAACAATACTTGTTACTTGTTTAAACTTATGGGCAAGAATAATCAAAATGTTCATTGAAACCTAACACAAGAGTAAACCCTAAGTAAAAGTTTTTTACAAGTATAAAGGAAGAGGGCTAGGGATGTGGCTAAGGGGTAGAGAACTTGCCTAGCATTCATTAGGGCATGGGTGGTTTCATCCCCATCATCAGGGGAAAAAAAAAAACTCAAAGGAAGAAACATTGTCTAGGTTAAAGTTTATGTCAAACCTAACATCAAGCCATGAAGTTGTCTGGGTACAAAGCCTCATGATTTATACAAATAAGAAATTTACTAAGTAACAATTATGCACCAACTACAATTAATTATATGTTAAACAATGTACATTCATTATTTTAAGAGTCTTCCAAACAACTCTATGAAGTAGGTATTATCCACATCTTACAAATAAGATTTAGTGAGTAACTAATTTGCCCAAAATAATATACCAAGTATGAAGGTTAAGGATTTAAACACAGGGATAGGATATGTGCCCCTAAGAATGATCTTTTCCACAGAAGCCACTTCTATCACCTGACATACTATGATTTCTTTCTAAATTTTAAGTTTACTGCCAATAATGCTTTCATATTTTTTAATTATCCTACTCATAAATCCCTCTCCAAAATGAAAATCATTCAAAATTTCAGTATGAAGAAAAACTTTCTTAATCTGTTATTACAGTTTTATTACATTATTTGTGTATATATGTGTATGAATGTATGAATTATATTAAAATGCTTGAAATCATGCTACACATATTAGTGTTCTCCTTTATCAGAATTTAATATTATGTTATAATATTATATTATTTATCCTGACTTAAACAGTTTTCAACAACTGCACAGAATTAACCATACTCATTTGCCGTGATGTACGTCACTGTTCTCCTGGATAATTAGGATATTTCCAGTTTTTCACTGTTTAAAATAACTATGAAATGGGCATACATCTTTATAAGTATAACGATTATTTTCCCAAAATGAATTCCTCAGGAATAAAACAGGTATAAATAGGTATAAATAGTCCAAGATTCCTGATATACACAATAAAATTGGTTTCCAAAAAGGTTACAATAGTTTCCACTCCCATCAGCAGTTTAAGATGGCATTTGTCTTTCCACATCTATGACACCATGAAATAAATCATTAAAAATCTTTCTACATTTGATATACAAAAATGGGATCAATGTTGATTTAATTTAAATTTTTATTCTTATCGTGAACATTTCTTGTGTTTAGTAGTATGTTTTTATTTTCATGAAAAAACAGTAATGTTTTTGCCTGTTTTCCACTATTAACTATTTGGTCAATTGGTACAGGCCTTTTAAGTGTTAAAAATGTCATTTCTCCATCATATCAGTTGCAAATATTTTCCAACTATGTGTTGTTTTTTAATGTTCAATAGTTCTTACTTTTATATAGTGTAATTTATTCATCATTTCTGCATGCATTTTCTTAACTGCTATAATGCTTAATAAGACCTTCTCCATTCAATGGTCAACTTAATATTTATCTGTATTTTCTTTTAGGATACAGTAATTATTTTCCAGACTTAGCTCTTTAATATAAGAAAAATTTACATTTTATATGATAGAAATGGTATTTTCAATTAAGAAAAAACTAACCAATTCTCAAATGCCATTTACTGAACAATTTGTTTGCCACAAATCTATGATACTTCCTTTATACATAATAATATGTATAAAATTATACATAATAATATGTCATATATAATAGGATATTGTTAGGCCACATAGTATGCTTCTAATCTTACTTTGAAACTGTGATGTGTTGTTTATAGGGCCTTTATAAAGGCTGTTGTTGTTTTTGAGGCAGATCTCACTATATTTCCCAGGCCAGTCTCAAAACTCCTGGGCTTAATAGATCCTTCTGCCTCAGCCACCCAAGTAAGCTGGGACTACAGGTGGACACCACTGCACTAAGTTCAAAGCTTTAGAATTTTAACAAAGAAATAGAGAAATGGAAGAGTGCCCTTTAAACTTTTCAAAATTTCTTAGTTTTTTTCATTTGTTTAATTTCCTGCCCATAGTATAAAATAATTATGCCAATTTCAAACAAAAATTCCTATTGTAGCTTTGTTCAAATTTTGTTAAAATAATGAATTAATTTTAACCAACAGCTTAAAAATAACCAGTCATTCATTAAACCATATTTTACTGATGTTAGTAAAGTAGTGCCTAAATTTTGTGTGTTTGCATGTGTGTGTGTGTGTGTGTGTGTGTGCGCGCGTGTGCGCGCGCAATCTGTGGAAAAGAGATATTTTGAAACATAACTTTCCTTTAAAATATAAATAATATACACTATAAAATTCCTTAAAACATACCAAAAATGTACTTTCAAAAGTGTATTTCTAAGGAAAAGAATAAGTCTTATATTGGATTATTTAACAATGTTTTTATATATACAAGTGAAGTATAACCAACAAACAACTAATTATAATACTCTGCCTATAGAAGTAAACATTGAATCATTTTTTTTAAAGCCTGTTCAATGAATAAACTAATTTATTTTCTTTGGGAAATGCATTTAAAATGCTTGCTCTTACCTAATATTCCAGACTTTTAGGAATCAAAACTTACTGACTGCATCTCTGTGCTAGTATGGGTTTAGATAGTCCCACATCGAGAATGGAGGTCTGAAGAGTTTAAAAGAAAATTAGAAATGACTACAAGTAAGAATTTTGCACAAACATTTGTGACACTTCTATAATCTAATACAAGAAATAATGAACTCTGGAGCCTTGTCATATTGTTGTCCCTATAAACCTTGGGATCAGCTTTTAAAAAATTCTTTAAAGAACCATCTTGGAAGGGGATTCCTACACAGACCCTATCATATACTGAATTGTGTTCTATAATGATAAGTATACCAAGAACGCACTCTATGTTCATGCATGGCATGTCACTGTAGTAGAGATAGAGATATATAAGGCAGAGACCTTAGCCACTTAATCACTGGCTAATATCCCAGAAACACATTCTTCCTTTTTCACAGCAAGTTCCATAGCTCTGGGAAACCACAATAACTCTCCCACACCCAACACTGTAAATTCTGGAAGTGAGATTTTGAACCACTATCATCCAGTTAAAACAGTCCTCCCAGTCTATTTCAGGACAAAATGAAGTAGACAAGGACTAGAGTTGTTCTCCTGACTGAAACATCTAAAACACAGGACAAAATATATGAAATGGTATTTTTAAAGACAATGGACAACTGGCAACAAAAGACAGCGAATACTGAAAGATGAAGAACAAACAAGGCATGTCCTAAAATTTCCCCAGCTTACCACCTGAAAAAATTTCCAAGTAGTAGTGCAGGGAGGGCTAAATTAAGTGGAGCCCAGAAGAGTATCCGATGTAATGGGTTGGAGCTATCAGTCTGAGAAGAGGACAGAATTCACAGGATAAAGAAATAGAACAAAGAAAATAGCAGAGAGAACTCTAGAGAGATGTAGACAGTCTCCTCAAGCATACAACAGAGAAATGCTTAGCATATAGAAGTGAAGATATTACTCTGAACCAGGAAAAGAAACAAGGATTATAGGGATTGATCCATGGAACTCACACTAGGCCAGTAATAGTTCCCATTTCCTCCAGCCAGAGCAGAAAAACCTCATACATAAAGTATCAGATAGAGTAATCAGAAGGGTTTTACTTCAATAGTACAGAAAAGTTAACTCCTGGCCAAATGCTATTCTGGACCAGTTTAACAACCAGTAAGACCTGAAGATAATACTACTTTGAC